AATTCGCGGACCTTTTATTCTAATAATTATCTTAACATATCTAGAGACTCTTTGTACTTTGACACTCGCTCATTAAGTCATATTCATATTTTTATCTTATTATTTATCTCATCATGATGCATTTTACCCCCCACATTCTTTCGCTTTTCACACGTTTTTCCTTTACGTGTATATAAGCCTGACGCGGAATATTTTTTCTTATCCCTGATGGTGCCATAGATCGGCGAAAGCTTGGATTTTTTAAACGATTTTAATATCATTTTACAGTAGTATAAGGCCTCAATTGAACTTTTACCACTTTCATTTACACCTGCTTTCAGTGTTACGTGCATAGGCGACATCTTTCGACCATCTTTCGACATGCCATCTTTCGACATGCTATGAAAGACCGTTAAACTGTGAAACTGGTAGTTTTTCCGGTTATCAGCGGAGGAAATGACAAGTAAACAGTAATTACCTACCTCAAATGGCTGAAGAGGATTTTGGACTTTGCATGCTTCCCTATTTACGGGATGATTCAAGCGATTTAGTGTAGTCGATCGCTTCTCAATAGTGACTTCCGGTAGAATTGAGCCGCTGCCGCTTTTAATGTTTGCAACGTGTAAACATTCAAAACAGTCGACTTATTTCTGCCAGAATGACCTCTTGATACTCCTAACCTTAATTTGATGTCAAATAAATCAATCTTTCATCATTACAATTCGAGTTCGACCGTAAAGAAGTCCGTTGGGCTTACATTTTTGAGTAGGCTAGGTTACATAGCTGGTCGAAAGATGGCATGTCGAAAGATGTCACCTTTGCACGTAACACTGAAAGCGGGTGTAATGATGTAATTTCCCTTTTAGTTGCTTNTGATACTCCTAACCTTAATTTGATGTCAAATAAATCAATCTTTCATCATTACAATTCGAGTTCGACCGTATAAAAGAAGTCCGTTGTGCTTACATTTTTGAGTAGGCCAGGTTACATAGCAGGTCGAAAGATGGCATGTCGAAAGATGTCGCCTATGCACGTAACACTGAAAGCGGGTGTAAAATGCTACTGAAGGACATCATCCAACGACAATACTTCTATTTTCGTTTTCAGGTTTCACTGGAAAACGCATTGTATTTTCGTGTTCCAATTTTATCAGAAACAAATTTAAATTTTCAGATTCCTTTTCCAAAATCACTGAAACTCCATCCAAACAGCAATATCTACCAAGATATCCGCAAAAGTTCTCGCTAGTTTTCGTCCAACAATATATAAGTTCAACTTGGCTGAATTTGACTGATGCATTTCCACCATTAAAGGCAGTAATTGGACCGAGTGGGGTACAATTCGTGTGAGTAATCGAAAACACTAGATATATTAATCCTTCTTTCTACGAGGAATCACATGATTACTTGTTTATAACATAGGGGAAACAATTTCTCTTATTAGAAAGTCAAACTTTCGTAGGAAACCATTTCACTCCATTTGCATAAAAATGCCGCTGAAAAGCCTTCACCATAAATGAAAAAAAGACTTTTGAAGTCAAGTTCAGTCTGTTTTTAAAGTTTTGAACACGTTTAAAAGTTACACTGAGACAGATTTCTCAGTGAAGACTGGTTCCGAGTTAAACTATTTATTCGAATTTTAACTGAACATCAATTTCTACGACGAATTTGCGATCCTAAACTAGTGAAACATCTCCCCGTGGTCGCAAAAGATAAACATCCACTAAGCGTAGTCACATTACTCAAGCATTTGCACTTCGAATACGCTATAATAAAATGTCCTTCACATCATACTCGCCCTTCTCGATGAGCCAGTGGCTCATCGACCTATCAACAGGAGTTTCGTGTCTTTCTAGCTTAAAGTTCACTATAGTTCTAGTTCTCTTAAAGTTTGCTGTTGTCCTATTCTTCTGCGTCATCTTCTGAAAGGAGTTCTAATGGAGAAATTCTGGTGATCGGTCTTAATAATTCCTTGCGGCCATCTCTGACTTTGACAGCTCTCACGTGCTTGTCCTTTCCTAGAGAGACCGCTAGGACTCTAACAAGCGGCCACTACCCACGCGGTGTGTCCGGTGCCACTTCGAAGACTATCTAGTAAGGCATTTACAATCATTATTCGCTCCCCATTCTTCACCACCACCGGTACTGTAAGCAAGGCAAGATACTTTGTTGGCTCTGGAGCTTTTGTCGTTGCCATGGTTGTTGTCAAGGAGTGTTCAGGACGGGTGCTTCGCTCCCCCTCCGTGCCACAACTGTGTCCATTGTTTTCACTAGCTCCCATGTCCAAGGGTAGGCTCCTCTCTGGCTCTATCACTTGTGACTCGCTAGTACTTCCACCATTTACAAACTGATCTCCATGCAGTGCCCGATTGTGCGTTTTCTGACAGCCATCTATACTACATCGACTATTTTGAGCACATCGCCCTCCCTTGTGATTTCTTCCGAGGCAACGATAACACAGTCTTAGC